TTAGGCCCATTTCAGAGAAGTGGCTGCAATCATTTGGTGTAAGCACACGAGTCAGTAATACTGGTTTATTCTTAACATACTTGTTATGCGCCGTTGAGTCGCCTGCAACTCATAGCAACCCTAAGTACAATAGCCCTAAACCCTGCTCTATCCTGTGCCAATCTCACTGTCTCCTACACACCTACACCCATTACCCCAGTCACTGAATCTATCCACCTCACAGAGGGTCTTCCTCTCCTGCGCTGTCCCTCCACCCTCCTAAGTATGATGTCCCTCTCCAAGGACTGGTCCCCTCCATGCACCATGTCCAAAATATGTCAAACGAAGCTTCAGAATCCTTGCCTCCAAGGAGCAGCCTGGCTTCATCCTCTCCAGGACAAACTTGTTTGCTCTCCTAGCAGTCCATGGTATGTTCAATACTCTTCTCTAGCACCAAAGCTCAAAGGCATCATCAACTCTCTATCATCCCTAGTCATTGTCCAGCTCTCTGAAGCACAGCAATTAATGGTAAAGACTGTATCAGCCACACCTTGTCTCCAGACTGACATCGTTGCTCCTCCGTACCTTGGAGAGGTCTCTGACCGCAGACTTTCCCAATACAATTAGTCTTAATTTCCTGGCTGCTGATACCAAGAGTGTTGATTGTAGAGCCAACCCTTAACATACTTAGAAGATGAAATACAGTATCATATTGTGGAACATTTACATAAGAGTCTAGGATTCCCAGAGAAATAGGTTCAAGACTTTGGTCATCACTGAAATATATAACTCATAATTTTTAACAGACTGGTCCACGTGAGGGATGTGCAGACAAATGTTGTACCCAGAGTGCTTGGTGGTGCCTTGTTCTGGGGTTGTACTGACCTATAAATACTGTTGTGGTCCTTCCATCTTCTTTTGATGCTTCCTGGTTCATTCAAGATTTTGTGAATGACATCTCTCAATATGGCAGCTCATGGCTTGAATTTGTTTTTCAGTTCTTTAGCTTGAGAAATGCAGAGTTCCACCCTTTTTATTCTCTGACTAGCTCTTTCCAATTTTGTTATACTACTTTTTAAATTTTTTTTCTTATACTACTTTGGTTTTTCTTCACGGGCTGCCCTTTTAAGTCTTCTGTTCAGCTCTTACTTCAGCATTATCTTCCCTTTGTTTTGGCTTCTTGATGCTCTAATGCAATTTTAATAGTTATATCTGACTTCCATTGTCATTTTTCTTTCTCCTCTGTTATGACCTTTTGCTCTCTTTGTGGATGATATCCTTGATTTCATCCCACAGCTCCTCTGGTGATCAGTGCCTCAAACCTGTCTTAGGATGATTCTGAAGGTGGGATAGTCGTAAGATCATACTTTGGTACCTGTGGATTTGTTTTAATCTTCCTTACTTTCAGTTTGAACCTGCATATGAGTAACTGATGGTCTGTTCCATAATCAGCATCTGGCCTGGTTCTGACTCCTGACCTGATAATGAGCCTCTCCATTGATTCTTTTCAAAGATGTAGTCAGTCTGAGTTTGCCTTTCGTGGTTCTTTTAAAAAGGAATTTTCTATTAATAAATCCACGTACAAAATCCATTCACTCTCCAGCCTCATTTATGTCACCAACTTTATACTTTCTACCATTCCTTCCTCATTGTTTTCAACTTTTGCAATAATTATTAATGCATCTTGACTGCATGCTTGATCAATTTCAGACTGCACAAGTTGGTAGGAATTCTCAAATTTCCTCCTCGTTGGCTTTAGTTAGGGGTGCATGTATAGTCTTGTTAACAGTTCTCTCACTTACATATGGACAGTATCCTATCACAACGTTGTACTTTAGGATTTGTTGTTATGTGCCGTCGAGTCGTTTCCGACTCATAGCGACCCTATGCACAACAGCCCTAAACCCTGCTCTATCCTGCGCCAACCGCACCGCCTCTGACACACCCATCCCGATTACCCCAGTCACTGAATCAATCCATCTCATAGAGGGTCTTCCCCTCCTGCGCTGTCCCTCCACCCTCCCAAGCATGATGTCCCTCTCCAAGGACCCATCCCTCCTGGCAACATGTCCAAAGTATGTCAGACGAAGCCCCAGAATCCTTGCCTCCAAGGAGTAGCTTGGTTTAATCCTCTCCAAGATGAATCTGTTTGTTTTCCTGGCAGACCTTGAAATTATCCTTTTAATTATGAATCTAACACCATTCTTAAGTATTTCTTTCCGAACATAGTAAGTCATGATTATATGATTAAAAGTGGCCCATGCTGGTCCATTTCATTTCACTAATGCCTTGAATGGCAATCTTGATGCATTCTTTTTCATTTTTGACAACTTCTAGTTTTCCTACATTCATACTTAGTACATTCCAATTATTAATAGTTGTTTGCAGCTATTTCTCTTCATATTTCAGTAACTTCCCATTTGAGCTCTACCTCTAATACATAGCTACATGTGTTTCTCTGTTCATAGGGGTTTCAAAGGCCTGGTACTTCAGAAGTAGATGGCTTGTCCTGCTTCCTAGTCTGTCTCAGAGCTCTGCTGCAGCCTGTCCACAATGAGTGATCTTTCTGGCATTTGATAAACTGGTGGCATAAATTCCAGCATCACACAAGTTACACTAGTAAAGCGGACAGTTAATAAGCAAGCAAGCATATACACATGCAGCTATAAAGTAGCTGTTGTAGTGTACTGTGAGTCGGAACTGGCCCATAATTGACCCTCTGGCGGTTTTTCAAAGGCAGTTAATCGCATAGGAGGAGACTGCTCATCCTTCTTCCATGGAGCAGCTAGTGGCCTCCAACCACAAGCCTTCGGGATTGCAGTGCAGCTTCTTGTCCCTAGAACATCAGAGCTCCCTAATTACTATAAGGTAGTTAACAGCATGTAAATCAATTCGCAGTGTAATGAATTGACGATAGGTGGTGTATCTCTAACAGTAAACTGTAAATACAATCGGGCATATATAAATTTCATGGTGCAGAACACTAATTTATGACCCTAACTAAAGCCCATGGTAGTGCAGCAGAATGGGGGTCCTAGATGTGGGTGTTTGGCCCATATATGAGTATATTATGTGGGGAACCCCAACCTGCTTTGGGTTCCTACATTTGGAAGAGGATCCCTGGATACAGTGCCTTCCATGTGATACTTCATTTAGGTTTTCCCTAATCTTCACAAGAAATTTCAGAAGCAAGCACTTATGTCTCTGTTTTAAAACTTAGGAAACATGTTCAAAGATAAAAGAATGAAAATATTCTTTTGATATTTTCCATAAACTGGCTCTTCATAGTCTCCTAAAAAGTCTCTATTTTTTCATTTTCTGTAGCTAAGGAAGTGGACTCAGATGGAATTAAGTAACTTGCCCAAGAACACTCAGGAGCAGAGCTGACACTCCAACCAGACTTGTTTGTCCCAAGGCAAGCACAGCTTTGGGGCTTAGCTGGGTGGTTGGCCGGGCAGGAAGGAATCCAGCAACACTGTTGGTTTCAGGTTGCTTGATGGAAAAGTTACAAGTAGAGATGGGCCTTGGTTAGGAAATGCCACTGGCCAAGGTTAGCTGAATGCGACAGGCTTACTGTGAACCACGAGTTCCAACTCAGGACCTTGCACATAAGGCTGGGGAGCATCCCTTTTGATGAGGGGCTTGAAACGGCAATTCTTAGAACACATTGCCTCTAATGTTCCATCTTTATGTTTTCTAATCATACAGTCAATTTATGATGATTGTTTAAAATCCAGTCAACACAGAAAAGGTGAAAAGTTTGTACTTCTACTAGCTAGGGAGTGCTTGGGGGCTTAGTGGTAATGAATTGCGCTACTAATTCAAAGGTACTTGGTTCAAATCCACCAGCTGCTCCATGGGAGAAAGATGAGCAGTAAACTTCTATGCAATTTTGTGCCTCTGAAAACCTGCTGGAGGGTCAACTATGGGTCAGTTCTGACTTAATGCTACACAACAATTCCACAAGCTAGAGGTAAATATTATTAACATTTGGCATTATAGTTCACTAGATATGATAAGCCAACACATAGTTTTGTTTGTATTAAAATGATGACAGATGGGTTCAAACTATAACCCTCAGCCCTTCATACATTTACTTACTTTGTGGACACTACATTGTATATATAGTACTGTGGATGCAAAGTAGCATTCATATTCACAGTAATTCCTAATTTAGTTTCACAACAATCCTATGAAAATCCATTCTGACCTCACACAGAGGTATGTTAATTTGTATTGACACCATTGGCAAGCAGGAAAGCTGCGATTCAGAGGCAAGTGGTATGGCTCAGCAAGCTCTCCTGCCTCTTTTTATAGCTCGCTTTTGCTGGAGATTCATAAAAGCAGGTAACATGCACATCCCCTACATATTTAGAATTGTGAAGGTGTGCCCATGTCCCTTCTAACACAAAATGTTCTTTAAGAGATGATGAGAAAGCAGAGTATGGCTTCTGTGTAATTTGAAGCTGCCAGGTTTCAAAGGAAAGATCTGGTGTGAGGGAGGCACCTACTGGTGAAAGGCGGTAACACTAAAAAGATGGAATCAGAAGCGTAAAGAGCCATTTTATCCCTTGGTGAAGCTGCCGATTTTTTCAGTTCAGTCTCTCTTCCCAAAACTTTAATAACGTGTCAATGAGGAAACTGCCTTTGAGATGTTTTTCCATGAATAGTACAATTCTGACAAGCTATATCTGTATATATAATGGCTGGGCCTTCCCCTGATTTCCCTGTTACACTAGCAATAAGAGTGCTACAGGGAATGGGCACCTGTGTACAGAAAACTATTGTCACACAAAGAAATAATAAACATTTCTTTCTATTATTGTCTCAAGAGGAGGAATGCTTGAATTTTAGGCATTTATTAGAAATTTATGCATAACATATAAATTAAACAAACTCAGCTGTACACCAGGTAGTTTCTGTAAGAGCTGTCTGCTGGATGAAGAGACCTGGCAAGCTGGAGAGAAAGCAACGAGAGCATGACCTCTGCCGCTGTAACTTCTGAAAAGTGGCAAGTAGACTCACAAAGACCATTCTGGGATGATACTTTCCTCTTCATTCTTTATGCCCATCAGTCCTAGTCCAGGGAATGATCCGTGAGTGCTGAAACAAATGACAAAGATGGACGGGTTTTTACCCACAAAGTTGAATGATGGTTATAAACTGCTACGTAGGAGAGGTTGCATTAGGTGGGTATGCGCATGTGGCATGGAATGGAGTGAGAGCAGGTAGGTTTATGGAAGGCTGCCTGCTGACAGTGGCTCAACTGAAAGAATACCGACTCTTTTTTTTATTTTATTATTATTTTGTGTGCGTGTATCGTCAAATCAGATCTGACTGGTACAGGAGGATATTGCGCCTCCTTCTCCGGCAGAGCATCTGGTGGATTCGAACCGTGTTCCTCTGGGATTGCAGTGCAGCTTCTTGCCACTAGGCCACCAGAGCTCCCCAAGAATACTGACTCTGATCCTAACTCTACCATCTAAGAGATATGAGAGAAATCACATTTAAACTGTGGGCAAATGATCTCAACCCAGCCTCAGTTTCTTCAATTATAAAACTAAAAAGTGTTCAAATTGCTCTTTTTCAGGATTTTTGTTAATATCTGCCAGGCACTGTTCTAAGCATTCTTCCAATGAACTATTTAATTTCCTCCTCAGAATGGTTCACTGATATAAGTGCATTTATTACTTCCATTATTCAAGTAAAGAAAAAGGCTCAGAGATAGCACATAATGTAAGTCCAACAACTGCGAAAGGGCAAAAGCAGATTTTCAATAATAGCAATCTGTCATCACTGTCTTAGTAAACCGTTACACTAGAGATTATTTTTTTGTTCATTTATTTAAATATTTTTTTGTAGTACTGAGAAACTTAAAATCAGCTTACTGTATGTAAAACACCTGGTTTAAGTGGTTAGCATTTAGGACATCCAATACATGTTAGTTGTCTGCCATCTTATACTAAAATATTCAGTAAGAGGAAGCTCTCTGAGCAAACAAGCTAGATATGACCAAAGACATTCACAGAACTTGTCACCACCTGAAACCTACACGTAAGCTGACAAGCACTAGCCTTTCTGGATAGAAAACCAAAAATCAAATCCACTCCCACTGAGTGGGTACTAACTCATGGTGACCTTCCACCAAGTTTCTGAGGCTCTAAATTTTTCAGGAGGAGACTGTCTCTTTCATGAGCAAGTGGATTTAAATAAAGCACTGACCTTTTGCTTAGCAACCCACCATGTCACAAAGGTTCCTTCTTCTGGGTATGGAGGATTTTACAGTCAGATGGATAGAAAAAAAAAAAAGCCAAACCCACAGCTCTTTAATGTGACTCCTACTGACCCTGCTGCCTCGGAGTGTTCCAAGGCTGTACACCTTTTACAGGAAGCAAACTGCCAACCATGATTAATTAAATCCAGTGCTTAACTCACTGCACCACTTCTACGCCTCAGCATTTAAATCCTGATTTATTTAGCTGATTAATGAGATGAGCTGTTTAAGGCTTTTACTCTACCTGCTAAAAAGAGATTATAACCTCGGTCAAAAATGCCTAACAAAGCACATGACCCTTATTAAAAGTTTGGTGGGTAGAGGGAAGGGGTGAAGGAAATGGGAAACACATGAAAAAGACAGTAATGATGGGCAAGAATGAGTGGTGATCTATAAAAATGTAATTTTATAAAATATAATCCATGGGAATGACTGTATGAAACACAATATGAATGAAGAATAGCGTGAAACAAGTATATTAACTTGGTAAGGAAACCAGTAAAATATTTAAAAAAGAAAAAAGTTTGATAAATTACAGCAACTGTTAATATCTGCATTACTTAATCTCAGCAGTTAGCAGAAATATAAGGATTACATAAAGGGCTGAGTAAAGCCTCTAGTGTGAGGAAATGTTTTCTTCTCTTGATCCCATGTTTCCCCTAAGCTGCCTCATTTCTCTAGTGGAAGGCAACCCCACAACAATGCGCTTACACAGTCGGCTTATTGGGAAAACACATGTTCCTCGACCAGGTTTGATTAATGAGGCTGCAAAGAGAGAGGAGTAGCATCAGGCTTCCTCATTACAGGACTTGCTGCTTCCGAGGAGTTTCGCCATGACTAGTCAAACCCATCTTGGGACCCTTGCACCTGTCAGAGCCTAAGCCTTGATGATCCTTGACCCTAACACTCTGGAAACCCTCACTCAGTTACCATTGAATTGACCATGCTTTTAAGTCACTCCTCATTCTGTTTATATGCCCATTGTTATGTTCCATCAAATCAAAATCAACCCATAGCTGACCTTCCAGTGGGTTTTCGCACAGGAGGAGACTACCAATCTTTCTTCCATGGAGCTGCTGGTGGATTTAAACCACCTTTAAATTGGCAGTACAGTTCCTTATCACTAAGTCACCAGAGCTCCCTATGTGCACAGCAAGGGCCTATAATCTTCTGCTGGGGCACAAGAAGTCCCAGTCCTCTATTTTATCCCTTCCGCCACACACTGGCCAGAAGGAGCAGTGTGAGGCAAGTCTGTCTGCCACCACAAACGTGCTTTTAACCAGGAAGCTTTTACTGGCACCATCTGGACATGTTTTAACTTCTTGGTGCCAACCTATCTATAAGCCTGCTTAAAGTATTATCAGTCTAAGGTGGCTTTTATTTCCTAAAAACACCCTATCACTGTTTGTTTCTTAGAGATAACAGTTCTCTCAAGCTACCCCAACCCTAGATTGTCCATCTCATCAGTGACCCTGACATGCATGTTAGAAGGATTTTATGAAAATGAACCTCACCTTGGATTCAGAAGTCTAGATTAAGGTATTCACATTCTGCCATCTGGGACTCTGGAACTGGTAAAGAATTTGAATTGTCGGGGACTTTACAGAAATAATACAATCCAATGGTTTGACAACCATGCTTAACACATTGCCACACACTTTCTGGTTCTTTTTTTCCTAGGAGAATAGCCTCTCCTAGCAACATCCCCAAAGTATGTGAGACTATGCTTCATCATCTTTGCCTCCAAGGAGCACTCTGCCTGCACCTTCTCCAAGACACATCTGTTTGTTCTTTGGCAGTCCGTGGTGCATTCAGCACTTTTCTCCGGTAGCAACCCTACATATTGAGAGCTCTGGTGACCTAGTGTTAAGAAGCTGTGCCGCAATCCCAAAGTCACACAGTTCAAATTAACCAGCTTTTCCATGGGAGAAGGACAGGCAGTCTGCCCCCGTGCAGTTTACTGCCTCTGAAAATCCTCCGGAGAGTCAGCTATAAATTGATTCTGACGGAAGAGTACATAGCAACATTAGGTGATTATAAATAGAAATTTAAAATGGGAATATAATATCTATCCTCAGAGCTACTGTGAAGATTAAGAGACAGTTCATAGAGACTTTATGAGCCTGGCCATCAACAAACGGCTTTTCTGTAAGAACAGCTACAGTCCAGGGGCCAGTCATAGGCAACCCTTCATAATTCCTACCTCTTGGTTCCTGGCAGGAGGATGAGGCAGAGGGTCCCTGGGCACAGGCTGTGATAGAGCTTTCCAATCTTCCGGCCCCAGCGCCAGGCTGCTATCTTGGGGTGGTCCACCTTCAGAACCTGGGATCAAAGCCAAGGTGTCAGAATTGAGCCAGAGCATCCTCAGCCCAACTTTGGGAGGATATGACTCTTTCTCAGACTCAAGACTTTGCTGGGAGCCCCGCAAAGGCTCTAGACAAATTCCCTGCTCAGAGCTGCCTTCACACTGTACAATTCCCCAGCTATATAGCCTCCTCTATTGAGGAGCCCTGGAGGCACACTGTGTTTTTGCATTGCTAACACACCAATTTGCATTGCTAACCTCTTTGGAAGTTCAAATCCACCAGTGGCTCCAATGGAGATAGATGGGTAATCTCCTTCTGTGTAATTTACAGGCTCTGAAAACCTGTTGGAGAGTCAGCTATGAGTCAGTTTGACTAAGCAGTAATGAAGGATTTTTTTAGTTGTAGGAGATGACAGCTGTTATTTTCAAGTGGGTCATGCTGGGCCCTGAACTAGGGGATCCATATTACTGTGGAGGACTGTAATCTGGCCTCCTGCCTTTAAGGACTTTGTGACTTTAGGCAAGTCATTAGGTCTCTCTATTCCTTATCTGCTAAGTATAGAAGCTGAAACCAAGGAAGTGCCCCAAACTTCATTCATTCACGGTCTTTCTTCACTGTTATACATGTGTGTCACTCAATTTTTCTTTTAAAAGTGAGTTAATTGCTTCCTTAGCCTTGTCCAAGTCTCGAATCACAGGTTCAGTGTGGTGGGTGTATATTTTAATTAGTGCTGAAAAACACATCCACAACTGTAAAAAAGAAAAGTCCATCTACGACCATCAAAAATAATTTTGTGAGTGTACCACACTGTGGGAAACCCTAGATGAGATCTCTGATAACTTACCCAGTTCCCTGACATCAAGCATCAAAACCCCCCTCAATGTTGCTATGTTAAAATGCACTCAAAGCTAAATCCAGAGGGCTTCCAGAGGTTGTAAATCACAGGAAAGGAAACTGTCCATCTTTCTCCTGAGGAGCTGCTGGTGGATTTGAACTGCTAAAGAGAGGCCACTTGTAGGTTAGCAGTGTAATTCCTTACCCACTAAGTCCCCAGAGCTCCAGCAGAGGTTCCTCAAAGTCCCTGTCTAAGGAGCAGGAAATGGGACACAGAGGCACAAGGACCATGAGAGTCTTTCTGAAAGGGCCAGAGGAAGTGAGAATAACACAGCCCTTCACCACCCAAGAGCAGAAAGCAGATGAAGAGCCCATAGCCCAGCTCCATAGTGCCTTAAAGCCCTACCAGCAGCAAGAGGTTCATTTATTCATTGCTGACTCACAAAGCTGTGGTCCTGAGAATGGGGTTTATTAGGTAAATAAGTTGGAGAGAGAGAGAGGCAAAGAATAATACTCAAAACAAGACCAGGTTTTAGCCCAAGTTTCCAGGCATGATTCCTCAATTAGTCCAGACTCTGGTTTCAGTTCAATAGCCAAATCCAAATCATTGAGCAAGGTTTGTCTCAAAGCAGTTCAAATTCAACTTCTCCTTCAAGCATCTGTTAAGAATAGCAAAGATCTTTTAACTGTGGCCAGCATAAATGCAAGAAGCCTCTAGTCACATCCTGCCACAGTTTCTTCACAGCAATGCCACAGTCTCTCCAACACCATCACGAAGGTCTTGCCAGCAGGGTCTGCTCCAGTTTCCCTAAAGTCTTGCCACTGCAAGTCTTATGCCTTGTGTGTGTAAACACACTCTTTCTCTTATCCTAGTCCCACAGTTGTTGATTTGCAAGATCATGTGTCTGTAGTTAACGTAGCTGGAGACCATAGCGGGCTAACGGTAATGGCTAAAAAAGCCAACATTTAGGCTAACACGTCAGTCCCTTAGAAACTCACCTGGAAAACAAACTGTGATTTGAGCTGGGAGGAAGAGGCAAGAGTATGAAAGGCCTGAGAGAAATAAAGGACTAAGATGATGAGGAGTGAAATAGACAGGGGCCTGGGCAGAAAAGGGAGTGTGAGGCTTAGAGTGTCACTCAGAGAATTCCCCTGGCTGATTGCCAGAAACAACTAAAGGCCAAGGCCCAGAGCCAACCAGCCTGCCCAACCCCAAAATCCACTCACTCACCTGTAAGGCTTGATGCTCCTCAGAGGGAGGTAAAACATGAAGGCCTGGGGACCTGCTTAACTCGGGAGACAGGCCTTTGAGCCACGTGTGGAGGTGCCTGGGGGTTAGGGCCTGTCTGCCTCTCAGATTCCAGTCCTTGCTGGTAAGAATGTTGAGGGCCTTCTGGGCGCTGCCCAAAGTGCTGAATTCTGAAAGCAATAATAACATCCCATTTCTGTTATCAAGTTGGTTACCATTCAAGCTGCTGCCTAGCCAGGGCCAAGGTAGAAGGACAGCCTCAGGGATGCTTCCCTACACCAGCTTATGGGGCTTCTTTACTGAACCCAACCCTTCCCTCACCTCCTATTTTCACCATTCCCAGTCTCCTCCCCTAAGGCTACTACATTCAGTGGTGTAGACTTACTCAGGAAACAGTATTTCTTCTCCTTTCCACTTTTAGGCAAGATCACAGCTTCTAGGTCAAGGAGTAGGTTGGGCTCCTCCAGTAGGTGTTCTTTGAAGCTTTCGCTCACTCCAGACAGGTAAATAGTACCTTGGTTCTCAGAATCTCGTTCCAACTCATTTATAAGGGTGTCACAGTCGAGGGTGAGCTCTGTCAAGGGTCTTTGCACCTAACCCAGGAACTGAGGTGTTAGTGGGGTAAAGCTACCATTTCAAGCCCTGGGCCTCTGCATATGGGCTGGAGTCCTCGGAAAAATAACAATTCTGCCATTTCCTCATCCATAAGAAAAGGGTAATAATTGCCTCACAAAACCTTCATAAACTGATATATTTACATATTTTTATGTGACCATAATCTGTCTTTTCCTTCACACTGCCAACATTAGAAACAACTTCTGTCTTCTACCTCAAGTGAAATTCTGTTATATAAGAAACTTCCAAATAACTACCAATTTGATCCTCTTGAAAGTTGAAGAGGGCAACCACAAAGAAGCACCCAGAAAAAAAGCATTTGGACCCTAAGTAGTGATAATACCAGAAAGATCTCATTTAGCTCAGGTGAATTTTAACAAAAATGAAGGTTGTCATGTGTCAAATGCTTCACTGTGAGAACTCCAGGCTTGGCCAAAGACTTCATAATAGTATTCCTGGCCCTGGGCCTCTGTCTATAGCATTTCCTTACATCTTAGGTATTACAAACACAGGGTGCCTAGGGCTACAGCTGAGTAAAGGATACGGCTCTGACTATTCTGGCCACCCTACCTTGATGGGGATGCCGTCTATCAGAGTGCCATTCAAGGTCTCTATGGCCAGCTGGGCAGCTTCCAGGACTTCATACTGGATACAAAGATGAGGCTGCAGAAAGAACAAGAATTCCTCACCTTTGCTTTGAGGTTCCAGCTGCAGAGTAGGAGCTGGTTAAAGGCCCAATGTCACCTGAATGACTACCCTTACTGTACTGGGCTAGTGACTGCAGAGTGCCTAACAGTGAAGAGTTCAACTCTAAGCAGAATCATCAAAGTCAGGACTAGTTCTAATTGAAGTCCTTGTTCCTTTGGTGAGGTGGGAACAGCCCTAACATAATCTTTACTCTCCAACTTACTTCAACAAAGCACCAACATGGAAAGAGAATCATTTTATAATCTTCCTCCTTGTATATTTTGGCTCATGTACACCACTACTCTGAAGTTAAGCCCTACAGACTTCAAGACACAAAAACTACTGTTAGGTTTTTGAAAGGGTCCTTTCATTACTTAAAGCTGAAATGATAATCGGAAAACTCATAGGCTACATTCAACTAATAAAAAGACTTCTAGTATGGCCTACATGATATGTAAGAAAACCAGAGTCAACATATGCTAGATTAGCAGATTTATCAATTCTCTTTAAAAAAAAAATCAGAAGATCTAACAATAATGGATATATCTTGTGGGTCAACAACTTCTCCCCTCATAAAAGCATGTCTTACACTCTAGCTGGTAACAGTCAAGCCGTCTTAGTTGTCTAGTTCTGTTATAACATAAATGCCACAAGCTGTTGGCTTTCACAACTGAAGTTAATCCAGTCAGTTTAGGATCAGCACACCACTACCACAGAGCCAAATCGGACTCACAATGACAGTCTATCCAATTTCGGAGGTTTTCTGTGCAGGAAGAAAGAGCCCATCTTCTACCGCAGAACTGCTGGTAAATTCAAAATTGCCAACCTTTCAGCAGCCAATACACTATGCAGTATACCACTAGAAAGTCAAAGTCAGGATGAAAAGTTTTATCTCTGTATTAGTTCTGGATAATTGGCTTTTCCTTTCAGCATCTGTAAGCTAGACATTTCTTAAAGGATCTTAATGTGTCCTGGCATTAATCTTTTCCTAATCAAAGAGTCTCACCAGGCGGAGATCTGAGGACCATCCTGGCTCTTTTTTTCTTGCTGGTAACTGAGGTCCCCAATCTCTGCTTGCCTCTCTTTCCTTTTATCCCTTATAAACTAGAAGGTGTCGCAGACCACATCAAGGTACTGCATTCTCTGCTTAATCCTTTTACAGTTATTTGGCTTATCAAGTCATGGAGAATGATCATCATGGCCCAGCCACATAGGCACATATGTTCATATTTTAGGGTGGCAACTTACTTAACTAACTTATATTATTACTATATGGCTCTTGTAGACATCTGAGTTTCTATCACTAATGTGAGTTTTCTGGTCTCTTTACCTGATGGGCTTCAAGAACAAATGTTAAAAACTGAACTGGGCCAAAACTCTTAAACAGTCTCTTGAGAGCCTTCAGGTTGCAATTTTTGCTAAAGGGTCCTGCATACACAGTTGATATCTCTGCCCACTTGACCCTCATCTGAAAGAAAAATGGTAAAATTCAGTGAAGAGCTGACATTAAAAAAAAGTATTAAAAATAACTAATGATAAATTTAATTTTTTAATAAAAACAGTTGCTAAAGTACAAAGATGTGTATACAAGGATGGCCTATACCGTATTACTTGTAATAGTAAGAATGTATAAAGCTTAAATGTTATATATAATAGGCATACCACATACTGGAATACTATACAGATCAATAAAAGCAATAAAAGTTATGTATTAACAAGGAAAGATTTATAAAATACAATGTTAAATGAAAATAAAGTTACAAGACAATATGCACAGGTTGAAAATATATTTTTATAAAATATATTTTTTACTTAGATCCACAATCAGTGTGGATTAATCCAACAACAATGGAGGTTAGTTGTATGCCACTGAGTTGGAACTGACCTATAGCAGACTCTCTGGTGGGTTTTAGAGGCAGTTAATCACACGGGAGGACACTGCCCATCCTTCTCCCACAGAGCAGCTGGTGGATTTGAACCATGTGCCTTCAGAATTGCAATACAGCTTCTTGCCACTAGACCACCAGTGCTCATGTAAAATACTTTTAACATATGAATACAGATACTGAAAAATTCTAGAAAAATGCACAATAAACTAAATAAAACCTATGTTACTTCCTGAAATGGGAGGGAAAACAAAAAATAAAATCATTCAGTAGAACGCATCTGCTTACCCTTTTGTTCATCTCCTCTGTAAAGCTGGGTGAAAGGTGCTCAAAAGAAAACTGGACAATACTGAAGGGAAACAGGGGGACTTCCACTCTGGCATGCTCTAGAACCTGTGGGTAACAGAGTTTGCATGAGCTAGGAACTTAGTAGTCTACTGGAGCTCCTGCAAGTGAGTCACAATCATATAAACAATGGCTCTATTTTGCCATTGGTCTAAAAAAAAATGGTGACAATACAGGAAAAAAAAATTATAAAAAAAAAAAATCTTAAAACCCTCCACAGCACTTGACAGCCTCAAAAAGCAATGCTGCTAAGGATTATACCCAATCTTCACTTACTGGTATGGCTCGGTTCCAAAGACCAGGTTGTAATTTGAAACCTAGTGTTCTGTGAAAATGGAGGATGACCCCATCTGATCACAAAATGGAAGATGACAATATCATTGCATAACTGCCAAGCCACTAAGAATCATGACCCAGCCGAGCTGACATACAACTTCAACTGTCACAGTCAACATGACTTGCGCCTTGTAGTATTAATAACTCAAGAGATTAATTATTAACATATGCAATTTTTTTAAAAAAAGTATTTAAATTGTTAATTGTTGCTAGGTGGCAAGTATGAATCACCGTGACCCTATGAATAAGATCTGAACCCTGTCCTATCCTCTACCATCCTCACAATCACCGATACCCTCAAGCCACTTGCTGTGGCCACTGTGTCAGTCCCCTGGTAGAGGGTCTGCCTCTCCTTCACAGTCTCTCCACTTTTTTAAGCATGATGTCCCCCTCTAGGACTAGCCTCTCCTAGTAACCTGCTCAAAGTATATGAGACTATGCTTGATCATTCTTGCCTCCAGGGAGCACTTGAGCTGCACCTTGTCTAAGACTTACCTGTTTTTTTTTTTCTTTTGGCAGTTCATGAGTGTTCACTGTTGAATGTGATTTGTTGCCTTATTGGTCCAGTAGTGAGAATTTTTATTTTCTTGCTGTTGAGATGTAACTCAGATTTAAGGCTATAATCCTTGATCTTCAGCAGCAGTATTTCATGTCCTTTTTAGCTTTCACCAACTAAGATTGTATTATCCACATAAGTTACTGATGAGTTTTTCTCCAACCTGATGCCACATTCTTCTTCATATTGGTCCATCTTCTCAAATGATTTGCTTAGCATACAACTGAACAGATATGAAGAAAGGAAACAACCCTGATGCACAACTTTCTTAATTTTAAATCACGCAGTCTTTCCTTGTCCTGTATGGACAACAACTTCTTGGTCTAGGTCTAGGTTTTACATAAGTACAGTTAAGTATTCTGGGATTCCCATTCTTTTAGATGTTATCCATAATTTATTTATTTTTTAGCACATTACTATCAAAGGACAGAGACTTGTTTATTTGAAACAGATTTTATAACAGTTTAAATTTGCACATAAATTCTGCTTCATTGTTCAGCACCATCAAAGTATAATTCTTGACTTTTTCACTGAAAATAAAAATCCCATCTGTCATCTGTTCCCAGTAAAAAACTGATTATTCTAAAAAAATAACCTGATTTAGGTAAACTAGTAGGAACTGAAGTTTGAGAGATGTTCTTTCCAAGCTGTAAATTCATCAAATAAAGACCATTCCAGGGACATGGCAGGACCAACAGAAATGAGAAGGCCAAGGAGAAGGAGAAGGAGGAGTCCTACAAATAACTGATAAAAGCTCCAAGGAATCTTGCTAATGAAAGTGTCAGTGTCTTGAAGCAAGGAGAGGTTATCCACATCTACTAGCTTTATATCTTCCCACTGATTGGTATAAAAATTCTTCATTAAAGCGTTTGTGGGCAAATTAGAGGGAGGTAAAGGCATTTCCTTAATTCCTGCATCTGTTGCAGAAATATAATGGGTTCTGACACATCTTTGAAAGCTTCAGCAATGTTACAAGCCATTTATTTATTGTTCCTGTAAGATGAAGTTGAGTTTATTTATCTCTGGGTCATAGGGTTGTATCACCGCAAGTTTCATGGTCTCAAAGTCAAACAAGATTTCATTCTTCTTTTGATCAAGTGTGTGTTGTAATTTCTCAAAAAACACCTTCACTTTATCTGTATCTTTAGTCAGTAACTGTAGGGATTTTCTCTTGCTCATTTCCTAGGTATCCAAGTGAGAAAGAGCATCTTCACACCTCTAGGTTTCAAAGTTCAGGAAGAGAGACTCAGAGGCATTCCTTCCTTTCCTTAGCACAGGCGTATTCAATAGAACAGAAGACATGCTTGGGATGGTCACCACGACTAGCACAGATCTCACTTATGATCCACATGGTCAAATGCCTTGGCATAATCAATAAAATACAAGCAAGCATTTTTTTTTAATTCCTGCTTTCAGCCAGATTCAACTGACTTCAGTAATGATCTCTCATTCTTCAGCTTCTTCTGAATCCAGCCTGAATTTTTGGCAATTCCCTGTTGATATACTGTTCCAGTCATTTTTTAATAATCTTCAGTAAGATTTTACTTGCTTATGATACTGTTTGATAACGTCTACGTTCTCTTGAATAAGTTTTGGAATGCAGTTCAAATCTACCAGCTGCTCTGCAGGAGTAAGATGGACAATCTTCTCCCGCAGGATTTACAGCCTCTGAAAACCTGCTAGTTGAGTCTGTTATGAGTCAGTTCCAACTCCACAGCAACAATAAGAAGAATATGGAATAAAGGAAGGAAAATAAGAAACCAGTACAAAGGGTTGAAAATGGAGGCTATTGGTATAGACATAATTTTTTTTTTATCTTGATGTATGTAAATATATCTTAGTTTCAACTTTATGGCACAACAACAGCAGCATATGTTTAAGGTGTAGATTTGTTTATGTAGTCCCTGGTTACTGCTACCTGTTAATCAAAAGACTGGAAGTCAGAACATATATTGTAATAACATGGGAGTCTACTTCTGAAAAAGCAGTCACGGAAAACATCATGAAACACAGTTTTGCTCTTGACGATATGCCTCTAGTTCTGGGTGTGTATGCATGCATCTATGGCCTATCTATCTGCTAAGATGATTTAGAAGCAAAGATACCCTAGCACATCTAGCACCTGTAACTTGGCTTCTAATACCAAAACAAGCCTAAACACCTTATGTCAGGAGTAAACACCATAAAACTGAAAATAAGAACTAAATAGCTGAAAATACAACCAAAGAAAATACGGAAAGACAATTGTTAATTTAATTTTATTTTTAGGATATATATTATTGAGGAAAATCGCCATCTTATGAAAATCAAAGGAAGTTAAGAGATATTCCAAAAGAAAGAAGATGAAATATATGAATGTATTTAGGGGTAATGTATGTATGTAGGTGATACATGTAACTTATTCTCAAAAATAAAATATTACTGAGATAAAGACAGGGGAGCAAGCACACATATATAAATAAGAAATTAGCAAGTAAGTGCTGTGCAAAGTATAACTGACAGGTGAATCTAGGTAGAAAATATGTAAACGTTTTAGCATTCAAGTACATTTGGTCAAAGTCTGAAATTACTTCCAAAGATATATTTTAAAAATAACAATATAAAGCTTCTAGATGGCACAATTTTATGCAATCCCCTGTGCTTATACAAAGACAGACAAAATTTAAAAAGTAAACAACAAAAAAAAATCCAGCCAGCTTTAAATTCAAGATCAATATCTCCATGAACCAAAACCAGAACAAAAATGTGCAGTGGTGCACAGCATCAAGGTCACTGGCTTGCTGGGTTTAGGAAGCAGACACTGGTGGCTGTCAGCTCCACTTCTGTGGGATAACTGAAATGAAAAAGGCCCATTGGCAATGTGACACATGCTAATGGGAACCAGCCCTGCTGATGAAAAAAATCTTAAAATATACATGGTATGCAAGTACGACTTCTCCTCTGCTCTTGATGCAATCTGCAAAGAGATAGCAGTTCACTCACCTCTTTATTCGAAAGACATTTAATAATTTGGCAGTTTTTGGAAGAAGAAAGTTCACTGGTCTCCGTCTCACGGGTCAACAAAAGGAGTTTTTGACTCATTGAGTCCAAGCATTCTAAAACACTTAAAGAAAAGCAGAAAAGATCAAGGTAGGAAGAATTAACAGCTTTCCAGAATCACAAAATCATTTCTCTATCCAGACCTTCACTATCTAATATACAGCCACTAGCAACATGTGACTACTGAAATGCAAATTTGAATTAAAAAGTAAATTTCTTATTTTCCAGCAAACTGTGGCTAGTAGTCACTGAACTGGACAGCTCAGACACTAGACATTTCCACCATCACAGAAAACTGTATTGGGCAAGGTTGCTCTTTAGTGAGGAAAGAGATTCAAAACCCTGTCATACTTAGACTTGATTCTAAGGATCTGATACATCTATTACGAGTCTAAAACCAAATCTATTTTGTGCCTATTTTTATTTATTTTTCAATTCTTTCACTCAAAATAATCAAGTTCAGCATCTCCTCCTCCAGTATTATAGTTCACTGCATTCCAATGTCTTAATTTTTCAGTAAAGGATGCTATTTTTAGATCAGCTTACTGGAAAATTAGAAAAATATATAGAGAGAAAATAATTCACTACTTCTCTATATGGGGGCAAAAGGAGGTATTTTCCCTCTAAGGTTTTTGTGATAGAAGAATACAAATTTAAAAAAAAAAAAATAATGAAAACCAAATGAACAGAAAATCCTTAAGTTTTTTATTAAATCAGACACACAATTTGCCTGTGCTCTTGATAAAGAAAAAAATACCTTGAATCTGGCTGAACAATGTCTGCTGTCTGTCTTGGCTCTTGGCTTGCTGCATGCAATTCTTGATGATTAGCAAGTGCCTCTAGATTTAGTTCTGCAATCTTAAAAAGAAAGTGGTAAAATCACCTCAATTTCCTACAAAGCATGTGATATAAAACCCAAAAACTAAATAAATGATACAAGAAAGTGGTGGTGCCTGCTCCTCTAGACAGTAGCTTTGCCACTGCCCAGGGTTTCTGGCTTCTTAGCTAGCAAAGAATGGCAATCTATTATCAGCTTCTAATGCTGTTACAGAAATTATCAGAAAAGGACCAAAAAGGGGTTTATCACTTACTCCATAGACAGCTTTTAAAAATTTATACAAACTTATGATCTTTGTATATGAAAAGAAAATTTCTACAGCAACATTGAAGAAAGCCATCTTAACAATTTAACATAAGCAACACCATTACATTTTTTTTAAAAACCTTTTATCTTTTTCTAACATACATTATGGAAAGGATGCAAACTCCTGCATGATATAAAAGCTTAATCTAGTTGATAGTCTTTTTTTCATAAAGTAGAAGGCTACTTGAGAAATGGTGAGGCAGAGGCTGAGACACAATCGTTTAAATAAGCTTTTAAAACAATGTTTGCTTTAGATTAAAAAATATGAAGATGGTACAGAGTTCCCATATGCCCTGCACCAAATTTCATCTACATATTAACACTTTACAACATTAATATGGCACATTTGTCACAATTAATGAGCCAATATTATATAATTAACTAAAGTTCATACTTCATGTAGATTTCCTTAGAGTTTTACTTAAATGAGATACAATTTTCACTAGAAAACAAGTGGCAGCATTAACATAAAGTAGTCCTAGGACTCCTGGGGGTTCAAGACCCTTCCAGAAGGTTTCTGAGACCATCTCCAACTACACAATACAACAGACTGAATGCACAGACACATCTGAGAAGCCACTTTTCTTCAACGAATACATCAGTAATTTGTAGAGTACATAAAAGGATGATACTGCTCCTGTTAATTAGAAAATGATAAAAATACATTTAACATGCAATGGGTATTTTATTGTTTTAAAAATAATAGTATACATGTTAAAATGTTATCAGATTTAAATTCTAATACTGTAATTGATAGATATGATCCATATAAGAAAAACTCTTTGGAGTCCCTAAGTAATTTTTAAGAGTAAAGTTCCCTAAAAGAAAATATCCTCAGCAAATTCTATTAGAACTTTTGATATAGTGGCTTAAACCCAGGATTGGCAAATGCCACCCATAAGGTCAAATCAGACCTGCCTGCTTTTTCATATAAAATTTTGCTAGAACAAAGATGTGTCCATTCATTGATAAAACTGTTAATAAAACACTAAAACAGCAAGCTGAGCAGCTGCAACAGAAACAACATGGCTCCAAAAATGAAAAGATTTACTACTATCTGGTCTTTGTAGGAAAGGCTGACTGACTACTAATGCAGAGCATTGTGAAATAGTCTTGGAGTCTAACAAATCTGGGTTTGAAGCCTGGTTCCACACTGACGAGCTGTGGGAACCCAGGCAAAACAACTAACCCTTCAAAATCTGAAAGTCTGCACACATAAAATAAATATAATGATAGTTAAGGTTCAAAGTATTAAGAGGATTAAATAAAATAATGTACAAAAAGCATCTTAAAACTATACTTGGATGTGGGGAGAGAAAACAACTTTTTAAAAACTCAGACATTACACTTAGTTAAGAGCTCAAGTGAATGATGGTTACTATTATGTATTTAAAGAATTATTTTGGAATGTCTTTCTATGAGCATAATGTACACACTATTCTGAATGCTATTATTCTATGTGTCTTACAATTTATTTCATAAGAGAGTCATGAAGGAATGTTTTTGTGCAAACGGGATAGGTTAATATATCAGAAGGCATTGTAATAAGATCTGCTAGAAAGTATGTCTTTTTTAGACTTTATTACAATAGGCTGGTTCCAAACGATACCTACTAAATTGCTGTATAACATTTACATCCTTCTCCTATTCAAGACAACAAAAATCTGTGTAAATTTTTATAAGCTTTACAAGTATCAGGATCACTTATAATCGTCACCTTCATCAGTAAGCATGACTTACTATTCTCTTATTAAGAGCTTTATAGACATTATCTACCTCCACCAATATTCTCCCAACTGAACTTCAGAGAAACTGCCCCAAATCACACAGATAGATATAATTTTAATTTATAAAATCAATGGATCTAACTCCAGAGACCACATACTTATCTACCACATTATGCTAGTGATATGGACTATATTTTCAAATACATTCTTAGTTCAAATCATATTCTCAATTGTAGAAAGACAGATAAAAAGAAATCGTCTGGCCCCATAATTTTACGAAAGGCAAACATACTGATTCAGGATACTAACCTTCTTTGGCCCATACTTAAGGAAATACCGAAGCAATTCAAGGGTTGTCCTAGCATCTTCTGTTGCATCATGACCAATACTGTTTGGACACTGTATGTCTTTTCTGCAAAGTCAAAGTAAAACTGATATACCCAGGGGCGTTATTAATAACAAGCTCTTCCAGTCACCTCAGATATCCTGGGTCCATGGCTAATTTTCAAACTTGCATCACAATATGAAATCCTTTGCTCTAGCTAAGTTCTAGGCTCAGAGAGATGTGCTGGGGATCCACAACAGTAAGAGCATAAGGACTAAAAAGCCTACTGAAAAAACTCTGGCCCCTTTCTAAGCCAGTTCCTTGTCACATTCAGAAAATGCTGTAACTGTGATTTCAAATTCTCTTCCAGACATTTTCTATTTGCATACAGTATCTATTCTAGATGTATAGCTGAATCCTTTCTCGGTAGGTTTGATTTTATTTCTTTAAACTTAATATACATACATTGATAATATCAAGTCTGTATCATAATGCTATCTAGGTGTGTAAAGACACAGATCTTGCTCTGCATCTCCCTTTCCTTTTCACTATTATCTTAGAGAGGTTACTGTATTACTATATGCAGATTCTATATATTCTACTGAACATCAATTTCTACTCATAGTGACCTTACAGGACAGACTAGAACTGCCCCACAGTTTTCAAGGGTGAAAATCTGTATGGAGGGAGCTCTGGTAGCATGACCCATTGCAAACTGGCTGAGTGCCTTGGGTGGCCTGACCAGCAGCCCCATGAGAGAAAGATGCGCAGTCTCTTCTCCTTAGAATTCACAGCTTCAGAAATCTAATGGAGGGTTGCTTTGAGTCGCCCTTTTTTTTTTTAATTGGCTTTTTTTGAACTCAGAATCTTTGCAGAAGTAGACTGCCACATCTTTCTCCTATGGAGCAAGCAACTGCTGGGTTTGAACTTATGGATAACAGCTAAATGCTTTAACTACCGAACCATCAGGGCTCCTACTCCGTTTGACATATAATTGATTCAACCAGTTTTCTAGTGTGTTTACAGATTATTGGTTATTTTAAACCATACTATAACAACTATAAGTGTGTGTGTGTTGTGTTTATTCAGTATAGGAATATAGGTGTTAGGGTCATTTCCCTGTCTTTCCCTAGCTGGTTCCATCCAACAAGCTTCTGCTGGGAATATAAACTCTTTTCTCTATTCTTACAATTTCTTTATACCTCTCTGTTTTTTTGTTTTTATTGGTTTGTTTATAAAGTTTGTACACACTGTGTTTCAGACTATTCTTCATTTACATTGTGTTTCATACAATCATTCTCATGCATTATGCTTTATAAAATTAATCACTGTTGGACCTTGCCCATCATTACCCTGTCTTTTTTGCCTGCATGCTTCCCAATTGCTCCCCGCCCCCCCCTTACCCACCAAACTGTGTAGCCCTGTGGTTTTGCCCCTACGCATCCTCACCCCTCCACTCCCGTGACAGTAGTGTAAAAATAGAAGGATAACTAGAAAAGCATGTACGGGAACTCATCCCTCTCTTTGGAGTTGAGTTTCCAAGAGCCTTAAGAAATGAAAGAAATTATTTCCAAACAAGTAGAACAGAGATTTTGAATTTTGCAATATGCATTCAATTGCAATGTGCATTCAGTGAGATACTATACACTAATCGAGAACTTTGGCAGTGCCTCTCTGGTAATTCAAATCCACCAGCGGCACCCTCAGGAGAAAAGGTGGGCAGTGTCCTGTGGAAGTTAACAGCTTCTGAAAACCCAGCTGAGAGGGTCAGCTCTGAGTCAGTTCGACTCAATGGCAATGAGTTTGAGTTCTGAGTTTGATAAGAGTAATTAATGTATGTGCAAATTTATCAGGATAATAAAGCAGATAAACCTACCCCAAAATAGCTTTAGCTAAGAACTTTAGCTTAAATCTTCTGCCCTGCTCTCTGACATACAGCAATGATGTATCAATAATATATGGGTGTGTCATCTAAGGAGGAAAGAGAGAATAATGAGTGGCAAACCTATAAAAGCAAAAGCAAGTGGGCTGAGCTCAAGGCTTTACATCTGAGATAAGCAAAGTCGAGGATTTATATGGGTAAAAACGAAGTCCTAAACCAGAATCTCACTTTCAGTGTCCTGAGGTCCAGGTTTAAAGAGTGGCCCACTAACACCGCATCGGGAGGAAGCAGTGCTTTTAACTGTTTCTGTACATCTTTGAGTTTGGTTGTCACTGGGTCAAGGATCTTCTTTTTGATTCCTGAGAAGCTATTAATAGGAGAAATGGGTAAGCCAGGATGTTAGCAATTTTTATATTTTTTTTAATTTCACATGTTTATTAAGCTGTTCTTGTTGTTGTATACTGTTGAGTCAGAACTGGCCCATAGCTGACTCTCCAGCAGGTTTTCAGAGGGAGTTAACTGCATGAGAGGAGTTTGTCCATCTTCCTCCCATAGAGCAGCTGGTAGATTCAAACTGTATACCACCTTAGGAATTGCAGCACAGCTTCTTAACACTAGGCCAATGTGTAAGACAAACAAGCAAGCAAGAAAATGTAAAATTACTCACAATTCTACCAAACAGAGGTTTTTCACTTTATTCTGTCATAATATCTATTCATCTGTATTTTAATAAGAACGCAATTAGAAGATACATATTACTTTATAACATGATTTCCTCATCTGAAATCTATCACAACCAAGTTTCACATCAAACACAGTACATCCTCTTAAATGGCTACAGAGTATTCCAATCTCTACATCAGACATTCATGGTCTCATATTTTTGTAATGTCACAGCTTCTAATATCACTATCACGGCCTCTCTATTTACAGAAGCCTGTTTCTATACAAGTGGAATGCCTTTTCACTGGCTTTTTCTTTGCTTGAAATTTAATCTGTGTAGTCTTTGGAAAGAAAGACTAATACAATTCTGAGCTTTAGACTTCTGTGATGGCAGAATTTCATCTCAGGCTGTGTTGGTGGAGGGTAAGGGGATGGCAGGTAAGGGCTATCAAGGCAGATGAACCCTCTTTGGGGATAATGGCCAAATGATGATTTGCAGATTTTTCAAGTCTTAGCAGAACACATCCATCTGGTCAGTGGTTACTGAATAATGATTACAATTAGATTCTGTGACCATAAAGATACTAAATTAATGTCTTAACAATAAGGAGGCTAGGAGTATGTCTTAAAAGAGCAGCAGCATGATAATCAACATTATGCAGTTTCAGCACTAGGATTTATTGATGTGTTGCACCAGTTCTTCTTTTGATAAAATGTAGACAGATAATACCTAACTAGGAAAATCTGGTGGCTGAGTGGTAAGGAATGGAATTGTGATGCCCACACAAAAGTATGTCATTCGAATCTACCAGGTTCTACATAGGAGAAAGATGGACAGTCTCCTTTCTTGTGACTTATTGCCTCTGAACATGCTGGAGGGTCAGTTATGGGTTGGTTCCAACTTGAAGGTACGCAATGACAACCAAGAGAAATGATGAACCATTCCCATTAAGTCTCATTCCACACTTGGTGTGACAGCTAGTAGGAAGAGTTGGCGCTGAGGTAAAGAATACCTGGTGAGGGAGCGCAGAATCTGACTGTCAGGCTGAACAAACTCATCCATAATACAGCGGCCTCCTTCAGCAACCAGTGAGATGCGTGTTACTTTTCTCCCCTTGGATGTGAGACACTGAAACAACCAAAATGCAGTTAGGCTGCTGAACTATGAAAACTTCTGTTTCTTTCCATTATTCTGGCTACATGATTTGCCATCTACCCAAAGGTCCTGGAGTCTCTGTAGAAATAGCAGTGTTTTTCAGACTAGAGGGTCTTGAGTGAAATTAAAGTTACACAGCTTGCTAAATGTTACCCTTAGTAGAATCAGTAAATCCTTCTCCAAAAAGATATACTCAAAGAAAGATGAATGGAATAGCATGTAGAATCGTATCTGCTGCTGTCTGCGAGTGCTTTCTACATTCCCAGTACCACGCTAAGCACTAGTAATAGTTAACATATATTAAGTACATGCTTATCATTTAATATTATACTGTTCCTGTATGTCTTCAAGTTGGAACTAACTTATAACTGACCCTGCAACAGATTTTAAGAGACAATAAATTGCACAGGAGGAAATTGCCCATCCTTCTCCCACATAACAGCTGGTGGATTTGAACCACGTGCCTTTGGGATTGCAGCACAGCTTCTTACCAACTGGCCACCAGAACATTTCATACTAACCCTATCAGGTAGCCTCTACTCAAAAATTCTATTCTTATTCTCACTTCAAAAAGAGGGAAGTAGAGTTTCAGAACAGTTAAGAAATTTGTGCAAACTAGCATATTTTCTAAAGGCAAAGTCAGAAGAAGCCCATTGCTATCAAGTTCTTTTCTGACTCAGAACTACCCTAATAGGACAGAGCAGACTGCCTCATAGAATCTCCAAGGCTCTATTTGATGGGAGCAGAACACCACATCTTCCTCCTGTGGTGCAGCTGGTAGGTTCAAACTATTGATATTCCAGATCCTAATCAAGCACTTAACTACCACAGTACCAGGCTCCTTAAAGTCAGGGCACGACCACTACTCATCTGTCAGACTCCAACCAACCTGAGGTACCAGCCACTCTCCTGTGAATTGAGAAGTTGTTTCCTGAGTACTAGGTGAGGGGATGCACTGTCTTTGAATGGAGAATCAGACAAAGTAAAATTTCTGATCATCATTGTATGAAAATGAAGTCAAGTCAATAGTAAGTGAGGCAAAACTTCTAGGGCAACAAAATAAAATACTTGTCTAAAAGATAGAGGACATATACATGTTCAAAAGTCAGAAAAGTGAATGTCTACTAACATGCAAAGATTTCATTAAACATACCAACTAAGTAAGGGTATACACTTTCCAGCAATTTAAACTAAATATTAGAACTGAATGCACTGGTCTTTTGATGCCTGAGATTCAAGAAATCATCTTTACTTTGCCCAGCGGTCTTCTGACTAGCTTTTGCTCCACTCCAGGTGAAAAAAAAAAAAATTAAAAGAAGTACTTGCCATTTCACAGCCAAGTCCAAAGAGAGGGCTATTGTCCATTATAGAACCACTGCATTTAGTAGGGACAAAGTTATTGTAGTCAGAAAGACCTAGGAGAAAAATGAGTAAAATGCTTGTTAAGTAATACAAATTAGGGATGGCAGGGAGTTCTAGTAACTTAGTGGTAAGGAGTTGTGTTGCCAACCCGAAGACAGGTGGTTTGAATCCACCAGCTGCTCCATGGAATAAAGATGTACAATCTCCTCCAGAGTAACAACCTACAGCCTCTGAAAACCTGCTAGCCTACCAGCTATGCGCTGGTTCCTACAGTGCAGTGCTATCTCTTTCTCTTCAATAAAGGCAATTTGTGCAAAAGCTTTGCTTCCTGAGTTGAATCCTTTACTCAGAGAAGGCAAGGTCTTAGATCCCTTATCCCAGTGACCACAATATCAGCAAGTAAACTGAGGACCTAAGCAATGCTATAAACTAAGTAGACTTTATAAATAAATATGTAAAGTCACTGGTGGATTGGCCACTTTTGGGTTAACAACACACCACCCTATGGACTACACACCAATGGACCCCACCACATGCAGGTTTTAAGCAAGGATAAAAAAGTATGCAAATGACAGCACCTGACCTCTTTCTTCCTATGTAAACCAACAGAAAGAATGAGATTTCACCACTGTGAACATCTGAAAGGATTTCACCATAGGCAGGAAGCTTAACAGTCACGTCTTTCATCCAAACCCCCACATGAAGACTTACCTTTATTTTTTGAAATTAACAGATGAGGCGGGAGGGAAACACTAGTTAATTCAGAAAAGAGAAGTATCTCTAAATCTAGGAACCATTTTATCTGCTGCCCACTTTATTTTCTCTTTTAGTTGCTAATTGTTTACTGAAAACAAATGGTGTTATCACACTAACCATTCTAAATTTTTCCCCTCTTATTTTTGCTACTGATCAAAAGGCAAATCTTTTTTGACAGTTCAAAATCATTAGTGACTCCATGAGAGAAAGGCAGGCAATCACTTCCTCTGCGAGCTACAGCCTAGGAAACCCCAAAGTGAGTCAAGTATGAAGTATGAGTTGGTTATCAGTAATGCAAACATGCATGCTGCCTGTGTATTCACTATATTTAATAACCATTTCCCATGTCTAGTCGGAACCAACCCATAGCTGACTTGCCAACAGGTTTTTTGAGGCAGTAAGTTTTCTGAGGGAGGGGACTATATGTCTTTCTCCTACAGAGCAGCTGGTGGATTCAAACTATGGTCCTTTAGGATTGCAGCATAGCTTCTTACCTCCACCAGAGTTTTATGAGTAGTAACAATAATTAAAACAAAACTTTCTATTTTTCTCTTATGTATCAGGAACCACTTTAAGCACATTAATTCCTTTAATCCTCACAGCAATTCTATGATGTATGTATTAACTCCATTTTCCTGATGCCCTTTCTACTTAAATTTGTTTTAAAAGAAAATTATATTTCCAGACTATTGTTATGTGCTTTCAAGACACCTGTGACTCATTGCTACCTTATGTACAGCAGCTCTGAAGCTTGCCCTGTCCTGAACCAGTTTCACTAATTCAGACACATCAACCCCCATTCCCCCAGTTAACTTTATCAATCCATCTCATCCAGGGTCTCTCTCTCCTGAGCCATCCGTCCTTCTCCAAGGACTGATCTTTCCTAGCCATGTGCCCAAAGTATGTGGGACAGAGCTTTAACATCCTAGCCTTCAATGAGAAGCTTCCTCCAAGGATTTCACCCTCTCCAAGACAGACCTATTTGGTTTTTTGGCGGTGCATGGTATGTTCAAGACTCTTCTCCCGTACCAGAATATATAAAAAATTTTTTTCTAACTCAATGCCAAGAAGCTGCACTGAAGTCCTATGGTTTGAGGCCACCAGCTGCTCTGTGGGGGAAAGACACACAGTCTTCCTTGTAATCTCCTTCCATGTAACTCCGTTTGAAAATCCGCCAGTGGGTCAGCTATGGGTTAGGTCTGACTTGATGGTAAACAACAACAATAATAAAGAGACAAATAATCCAATTTAAAAAAACAGGCAAATCTGAGCGGATATTTCTCCAGAAAGATATACAAATGATTAAAAGCACATGAGAAGATGCTCAGTATCATTAATCATTGGGGGAAATGCAAATCAGTATCACAATGAGATGACACTTTATACCCACTGGACTCACTGCAATCTTTGGAATAGTCTGACAGCTGAGCCTCCAGTGGGTTCACAGCCAACCTAAAGGTATTCAGTTCAAATCCACCAGCTTCTCCATGGGAGAAAGAACAGTCTCCTCCTGTTGGATTTAGTGCCTCTGAAAACCTACCAAAGGGCGAGCTATGGGTCGGTTCCAGCCCAACAGCACACAACAACAAAAACAAATAGCACAGGAGATTGCCCACCTTTCTTCCTTAGAGCTAGAATGGCTATTACAAAAAGAATGATAAAAACAAGCGTTGGTAAGGACATATACTACTTGCTAGTATGAATGCAGTTGCTTTTTAAAAGTCTGCAGTTCCACAAAAGGTTAAATGTAGAAATAACATTTTGACTGAGCAGTTCTACTCCCAGCTATTTCATACAAGAGAAATGAAGACATGGGCTGACATAAAAATGTGGATATGAATGTTCATAGCAGCACTACCCATAAAAGACAAAGAGTGAAAATAACCCAAGTCTATCAAATGATACATGGATAAATAAAACAGTGTATAGCAACACATGGATTATTACTTTATTATTTGGCACTGGAAAGAAAGGACTAATACAAGGTGCAAGACAGATGAACTTTGAAAACACGTTTAAGAAAAGAACACAGCCACAAGTGCTCATGTATTCTATTCATATTAAATGTCCAGAATAGGTAACTCTAAAAACTGAAGGTACAATAGTGGTTGCCTGGGGTTGTGGGAGTTGAAGAAAAATGAGTGACTGCTAATGGACATGGGATTTCTTTGGCAGGTAGTGAAAGTGAACTAAAATTGGTAGTTGTGAGACGATACAACACTTTTCAGAGGCCACTGAATCGTACATTTTAAACAGGTGGATGACAAAACAGAAGAAAGCCAACACACTGCTACTGAGTTGACTGTGACTCATAGTGACCAAATGCCTTCCTCCTGGGCTGTCAAGGCTGGAATCTTTATGGAAGCAGATTGCCATGTCTCCGTCCCAAAGAGCAGCTGGTGGGTTTGAGCTACCGAACTTCCAGTTAGCAGCCAAGTGCTGAAACACTGTGCCAGGCTCCCTGGATCCCCACCAACTTGGTTCTGACTCATAGTGACCATCTGGTGGGTCGTCAAGGCTCGAAATCTTTGCCAGCACAGAGTGCACACCTTCTTCTCTAGGAGCAGCTGGTGGACTCAAACCTTTCAGTTAGCAGCCAGATACTTGCGCACTATGCCACGAGGACTTGGGTGAGTTTCACGATATATATTCATTATATTTTAATGAGGCTGGTTTTTATCGGGAATTTTCCTATTACTATGAGCTTAGTGGTAAGGAACTGTTAAGCCAATGCAAAGGAAAACTGTTTGAATCCACCAACTGGGAGAAGAATACCCAATCTCCTTTTGTGCAATACCCTTACTGCTTGTGAAAACCAGCTGGACAGTCAGCTATGCGTCAGGTCCAACTAGACCGTACACAAAAACAACATTGTACAAGGAAAACTAGTATAACTAGCTACAAATGGGCAATAAAAGTAAGTAGTTAAGATGAAATGAAGGCACTGAAGATAAACAATGAATAAGGTGCTCTGTATAAATGTGTCCCAAGTGTACATATGGTACATTTTTATGCTAACAAATTATTTTATGTCCAAAATTCAGGATTGGTGGACGATTTATCAACAATCTGCGTTATGCGGATGACACAACCCTGCTTGCTGAAATTGAAGAGGACCTGAAGCGCCTGCTGCAGAGGGTCAAGGACTGCAGCCTACAATATGGATTGAGGCTCAATGTCAAGAAGACAAAGATTCTCACCACTGGACCAATTGGCAGCATCAGGATGGATGATGAAGAGATTGAGATTGTACGCAGCTTTAGTTTGCTTGGCTCCATAGTCAACAGTCTTGGCATCAGGAGCCAGGAAATTAAAAGGCGCATTGCCATGGGAAAGTCTGCTGTTAGGGACCTCTCCAAAGTACTGAAGAGCAATGGTGTCTCTCTGGAGACTAAGGTGCGTCTGATACAGGCCATGGTCTTCGCAATCACTTGTTATGCAAGAGAGAGTTAGACAATGACCAAGGAGGATAGAAGGAGAATTGATGCCTTTGAGCTGTGGTGCTGGAGAAGAGTATTAAGAATACCATGGACTGCTAGGAAAACAAACAGATTTACCCTGGAAAGGGTTAAACCGGGTGGCTCCTTGGAGGCAAGAATTCTGAGGCTCCGTCTAACATACTTTGGACATGCTGTGAGGAGACAGGTCCTTAGAGAGGGACATCATGCTTGGGAGGGTGGAGGGATGGCGCAGGAGGGGAAGGCCCTCTATGAGGTGGATTGATTCAGTGACTGGAATAATTGGAATGGGAGTGTCAGAGACAGTGCGATTGGCACAGGACAGTGCAGAGTTTAGGGCTATTGTACATAGGGTCGCTATGAGTCGCAAGCGACTTGATGGCACATAACAACAACAACAACATATTTGAACAGGCAACCATAAATAGTGAGGAACCACATCTCCAGCACTGAACAATCTTTTAACAAAAATTAACCTCAGACATATGGGTAAAGTCAAGTCACAAGAGGTAGCTTTGTAATAACCCCGGCAAAAAATTCTTCAGAGTCTGGATTAGGAGAGTAGTAGGGTGAGAGGGCTAGCCTCCATTTTTAACCAACCTGAAAAAGAAAAAGCAATTTTACCAAATCCTTGTTTTATAACTGATCAAGGCTCTGAACCCAGACCAGGTCCAAAAAACAAACCAAAAACTAAGGGTGGAATGGGAAGTGGATTAGAAGTAGTGGAGCAGTATTAAAGATACATCGACTTCACTTTGATATACTGAGAATGAAAGAAAACAGAAAAAGGAATTGTTTCAATACTCTATATGTAATATCCATCAATACTACCTAAAATAATCTTTGTACCAATCACAGTACTCATCTGATTTGTTGGAAAACTCTACTTAAAATACTGTCCTTACAAATAGATGAGGGAGCTCTGGTGGCCTAAGGGTAAGGAGTTGTACTACCAACCCAGAGGCAGTTTGTGTCCACCAACAGGTTGTTGGGGAAAAGATGCAATTTACATCCCATGCAATTTACAATCTCTGAAAACCCACTGCAGTGTCAGCTATAAGTCAATTACAACTCCACAGCATGAAACAATAGAAAGTTAAATACATAAGAAAAGGCCATTTAAAGAGCTGACAGAAAAATGCATGTTTTTAAATGAACTGTTAAATGTTCTTACAGGTTACCAAGAACAGATTAAATCTCAACCAATCTTATCATTTATTTACTTTTAAATTAGCATTTAGGTGAAAATTTAAATGGTATTTAATCATTCATATACATAGTTGCACCTTAGATGCTCACTCACAAGTGTTTAAGGCCACTATACCTAACAGTCTGTGTGGGCTATGTTGTAACAATCAACCTTGATTGTCCCCTGAGCCCCTAGGCCCAGTGACTCCCTCCCTCTAGGTGTTTGGTTATGAATAAACCAACCTTGTAATGGAAAGTTATGTGTTTTCATTTCTTCCTTTGTCAGAAGGCACTTGGTCAAGCCCACTCTCTTATAGCCATACTTCTGAATGATGGGGTTATTCTGTATGTTGACAGCGGCTTTCACAGTGGCTGAAGGTGAAGACTCTGAAACAAGAAGGAAAATGAAACATTAATTTGCATATGTCTTGTTTTAAAAGACTTCAGAAGACCTGTCTCTTAATATTGCATAGCCAAAAAAATACTGCAAATCCAAAGATGCATTAAGACCCAGCCACCACTTTGAAGGAATTTGCAATCTAATAGGGTTATCTTGTTGTTATGTGCCGTCGAGTTGCTTGTGAACTTGTAGCGACCATATGTACAACAGCTCTAAACTCTGCTCTGTCCTGTGCCAATCTCATTGTCTCCGACACACTCATCCCAATTGCCCCAGTCACCGAATCAGTCCACCTCCCAGAGGGCCTTCCCCTCCTGCGCCTGCCCTCCACACTCCCAAGCATGATGTCCCTCTCCAAGGACCGGTACCTCCTTACAACATGACCAAAGTATGTCAGACGAAGCTTCAGAATCCTTGCCTCCAAGGAGCAGCCCGATTTAACCCTCTCCAGGATGAATCCGTTTGTTTTCTTAGCAGTCCCTGGTACTCTAAGAACTCTTCTCTAACACCAAAGCTCAAAAGCATCAATTCTCCTTCTATCCTCCCTGGTCACTGTCCAGCTCTCTGATGCATAACAAGTGATTGCAAAGACCATGGCATGTACCAGACGCACCTTAGTCTCCAGAGACACACAATTGCTCTTTAGTACTTTAGAGAGGTCCCTAACAGCAGACTTTCCATCGCAATATGTCTTTTAATTTCCTGGCTGCTGGTGCCAAGAGTGTTGATTGTGGAGCCAAGCAGACTAAAGCTGTGAACAATCTCAATCTCTTCACCATCCATCTTGATGCTGCCAATTGGTCCAGTGGTGAGAATCTTTATCTTCAATATGAGCCTCATATTGAAGGCTGCAGTCCCTGACCCTGAGCAGCAAGCGCTTCAAGTCCTCCTCAGTTTCAGCAAGCAGGGTTGTGTCATCTGCATAATGCAGATTGTTGATAGATCTTCCACCAATTCTGATGCCGCATTTCTCCTCACAGAGCCCAGCCTCTCGGATGATCTGTTCTGCATACAGGTTGAAAAGGTATGGACACAGGCCACATCCCTGGCGTACGCTCTTCCCAATTTTGAATCATGCAGTGTTTCCTTGCTCTGTTCTGATGACTGCCTCTTGGTTCAAGTATAAGTTTCGCATTAGCATGATCAAGTGTTCTGGGATTCCCATTCTTCTCAGAGTCAGCCACAGTTTGTTATGGTCCACACAGTCAAACGCCTTTGCATAATCAATGAAGCACAGATAGGCATTCCTCTGGTATTCTCTCCTTTCAGCCAAGATCCATCTAACATTAGCTACAATAGCCCTAGTACCACAACCCCTTCTAAACCCAGCCTGGACTTCTGCCAGTTCTCTGCTGATGTGCTGTTCCAGTCATTTTTGGACAATCTTCAGTAGAATCTTGCTTGCATGTGCAATCAACGATATTGTTCTATAGTTTCCACACACTGTTGGGTCACCCTTCTTTGGAATGGGAACAAATATAGATCTCTTCCAGTGGTTGTTCTCCAGATTTCTTGACACAACTTGGTGAGCACGTCCAGGGCAGCATCTGTTAGCTGAAATATGTCAAGTGGTATACCATCTATTCCTGGGGCCTTATTTTTTTGCTATTTCCTTCAAAGCAGCTTGAACTTCTTCCTTCATCACCATAGGCTCTTGCTCATATGTTGCTTCATTAAAGTCTTCTGTCTGCCAATTCCTTTTGATACAATGACTCAGTATATTCTATCCATCTTCTTTTGATACTTCCTGGATCTGTTTAATACTCTGCCTAAAGCATCCTTGATTACAGCAACTCAAGGTTTGAATTTGTTCTTCAGTTCCTTGAGCTTAAGAAATGCTGAGCAAATTCGACCCTTTTGGTTTTCCGACTCCAACTCCTTGCACATTTCATTGTAATATTTTACTCTGTCATCCCGTGCTGCCTTTTGAAATCTTCTGTTCAGCTCTCTAGTATCTTGAATTCTTCCCTGTGCTTTGGCTTCTCTGCGCTCCAGTGCAGTATTCAGAGTTTCTTCTGACATCCATTTTGGTCTTTTCTTCCTTTTCTGTCTTTGTAGTGAATGTTTGAACTCTTCTTAGATGATACCCTTGATATCCTCCCACAACTCATTTAGTCTTCACTCATTCGTGTTCAAGGCCTCAAACCTGTTCTTGAGATGGTTCTGAAATTCAGGTGGGATAGACGCAAAGTTGTATTTTGGTTCCCGTGGATTTGGTTTAATTTTCCTCAAGCTTCAGCTTGAACTTGCATATGAGGAGTTGGTGGTCTGTTCCACAATCAGCTCTGGGTCTAGTTTTCACAGCTGATATTGAGCTTCTCCAGCGGGTTATAAGAACATAGAAAGAGAGAAAGTCCCAAGTGAGTTATAACAAAAATGGCTATGGTCACTGCTATTTCAGGAGAGAAAAAGGGTAGCTGAGTCTTCAAGACAAGACAAAAGATGGTTGAACTATCCATTACGGTGCATGTAACTCCCAATAGCCTGTTCTACCTAAACCTATTCTCCCTGTAGCCACCTTCTTATGCACCACCCAGCTTATCATATGAGTGAGGACCTGGCTCAAAAGCAACCCATCCACAGGCTCATGGGACTACAGTAATTAAACTGATTCAGTCAGAACTAGAAAATAAGAGAACTGAACAGTCAGAAGAAAGAAACAGAAAAGATGCCATGAGAGGCAGGAAGTACAGTTTTTCTCTAGAGACACTTAAGTTACTGCTGGCTTTATGGTTCCTGTGCCGCCTTCAAAAGAACTCCCTTTTGTTCAAGGTAGCATGAATGAGTGGCTAGTTCTTACAACTGCAAGAGCCAAAGCATCCTAACTGGAAAATAGGGCATTCCAAGAAAGGTAGAAATATGAATAGCAGAGGGGAGGAAAAAAAAATGGTCTGTGTAGAACAGTAATGTGGGAAACAAGCCTCACAGAGAAATTACTTCAAGGGCATTATGTGAGTCAGGCTTAATAGTGTAGACTTCAGTCTGTTATTCAATATTGTCGTTTTTATGTGCCATCAAATCGCCTGCGACTCATAGCAACCCTATCTACAACAGCTCTGCACCCTGCCCTGTCCTTAGCCAGTCTCAATGACTCCAATACACTTAACCCCATCGGCCCACTTAGCATGTCTATCCGTCTCGTCTGGGGTCTTTCTCTCCTGTGCTGTTCCGTCACCCTTCCAGGCATAGTGTTCTTCTCATTAAATATAGAAAGGGGGGGGGGGAATAAAGCTCACAAAAAAAGGAAGTGAAACCAAAACAGGGTTTTAAGAAAGATTAACCTCAAACATATGGGTAAGGTAGTTTTGTAATAACCCAGCAAAAAATTCTTCAGAGTCTGGATTAGGAGAGTAGTAGGGTGAGAGGGCTATGTGAAGGAAACATTCATTACAGAAGAAAAACTGGTAGAAAACAGTGAAAGAGCAATTTAATTCAGTCAACAAAAATTATCCTGAGTCCTTACTCCATGCCTGTCTTCTTTCTTGTGTTGCTGATGTCATTCTTGGATACCATCAAGTCAGTTATGACTCACAGTGTAACCCAATGAACAATAAATCTGAATTCTGTTCTGTTTTGCACCATCCTCAAGCCCAATGTTAGTCACCTCTTCAAGCTACCTCCTTGCAAGTCTTCCTCATTTTCACTGTCACTCTATCTTTTCAAACATGATGTCCTTTCCCAAGAACCATCCCTTCTGACAACATGACCAAAATATGAGATGAAATTTTACTGTCTTTGCCTCTAAGAAGGCAACTACAATAAGACTTGGTTAATAAATGCCTTACAAATATGTTGTTGTTGTTATGTGCCAGTCACTTGCGACTCATAGTGACCCTATGTACAACAGCCCTAAACTCTGCTCTGTCCTGTGCCAGTCGCACTGTCTCTGACACTCCCATCCCAATTACCCCAAGTCACTGAATCAATCCACCTCATAGAGGGCCTTCCCCTTCTGAGCTCTCCCTCCACCCTACCAAGAATGATGTCCTTCTCCAAGTACCGGTCTCTCCTTAAAGCATGTCCAAAGTATGTTAGATGGAGCCTCAGGATCCTTGCCTCCAAGGAGCCACCCGGTTTAACTCTTTCCAGGATTAATCTGTTTGTTTTCCTAGCAGTCCATGGTACTCTCAATACTCTTCTCCAGCACCACAGCTCAAAGGCATCAATTCTCCTTCTATCCTCCTTGGTCATTGTCTAACTCTCTGATCCATAACAAGTGCCTGCAAAGACCATGGCCTGTATCAGACGCACCTTAGTCGCCAGAGAGACACCATTACTCTTCAGTACTTTGGAGAGGTCCCTAACAGCAGACTTTCCCATGGCAATGCGCCTTTTAATTTCCTGGCTGCTGGTGCCAAGAGGGTTGACTGTGGAGCCAAGCAAACTAAAGCTGTGAACAATCTCAATATCTTCACCATCCATCCCGATGCTGCCAATTGGCCCAGTGGTGAGAATCTTTGTCTTCTTGACATTGAGCTTCAATTCATATTGGGGGCTGCAGTCCTTGACCCTCTACAGCAAGTGCTTCAGGTCCTCCTCAATTTCAGCAAGCAGGGTTGTATCATCTGCATACCACAGACTGTTGATAGATCTTCCACCAATAATGACCCCACATAAATATAGCCATGGTTATCTTTTGTAATCAACAAATCATCATGGGTCACAGCCATACCTTCCATCATTCTTGGAAGATCCCCATTTGTTTGTTTCATTCGCAATCCAATTATATCAGCTAGAAAATTTGAGGATGGAGGAGGCATGCAGAATTTCTGAAAAACAAATTTTTTTTTTTCATAAAAAAACGCTTGCAAAGGATTAAGATATTGTACAAAGTTGGAACTTTACTGTCAGTTCAGGGCTATGTTAATTTTGCACCTTAACTATTAGCTCTGTAAAATAGAGGTTTTTTCCACTAATTTGAAAAAAAAAACCCCATATTTAAATCACATCTATAATTTTTCACTGCTTCATTGATTACAATCTAAAAAAGACAACCATTACAGAAATGTTCATCACAGGTAAGCTAAGACCATTATGTATTTGAAAGTATTTCCATATCTATTGTTTCACTGTTGTTGTATAACATAAAGTTGGAACCAACCCTCCTCCAGTGATTTTCAGAGGCAGTTAATCACATGGGAGGAGACTGCCCATCCTTCTTCTGCAGAGCAGCTGTTGGCCTCGAACCACATGCCTTTGGGATTACAGTGCAGCTTCTTACCACTATGCGACCAGAGTTCTTTAGACCCAATAAAGAATTGTAGGACCAATGACACAGAAAAAGATTGAGAATTCTAACTTCTGTGTCACCTCTCTACATACTTACTGGAGAGGTTAATTTTCTTTAACTGTCAAATGGGAATGAAAAGTTCTATTCCTTATAGAAATGGTATGAATTAAAAATGATGCATGGTCTCAGTGAAATAATTCAGTCACAAACGGACAAATACTGTACAATTACATAAGACCGTTGTGATAAAAATAATACAGTTAAAGGGAAAGGGGCAGGGAGAGAAGAAATAAAATGGATAAACAAACACTATAATGGAATAGGTAAAGGAAAGATCAACCTGAAATGAACTGACAATCAGATAAATTTGCATATTGCAATTCACAATCTGGAACAACATGCATAACTGATCAAATTCGGCCAGGGGAGGTGAATGAGGGTGGGCGAAAGAGACCAAGGAAAAGTTTACACACAGATGAAAGAGTGGATGGCTGACAGTCAGGGATAGGAGGGAAGGGAGAGGGAGCAGAGATTAACAAATGAATGAGTAGGGTGAAGAGAAAGGGGAGACACAGTGAGGTTTTGACAAGACATTGTAAATGGCAATATACAATTGTAACTATTGTTATAAAACAAAATGATTAAATGAAAACCAAGTTTAAAAAAATGATGCATGCAGCATGGTTCATATAAAAATAACCAAACTTACTGCTGTCAAGAGTATTATGACTCACCACAGCATACAGGACAAAGCAAAAGGGTCCCACTGGATTTTAAAGGCTATTAATCTTTATAGAAGCAGACTGCCACATGGTTCCCCCCACAGAGCAGTTGTCTGTTCAAACTGCTGGCTTTGTTTTTTTGGTTAGCAGCCAAGATTTTAAACTGTTGTGCACAGGGCTCCTTGTGATTAATATAAAGGAAATGCAAAAAAAAAAATGTGTTCACAAAGTAAGTCCTGACTCTATAAAAAAAATACCATCTTGTGAATTTTTAAGGAAAGCAGAAAAATAGATATTTTACTTAAATTTTACCCATTTTCAAAACACTATATAAGAGGACACTATTAACTTGGGAACTATAGATTGTAATCTAGCAATGAAATGTTTTAACTACATTTTCAAAGAAACTCAGAAACAAAGTTAATCTCAGTAAGAAATTTCTTTATAGAATTTCTTCTCTTTTTTTTGCTTCCATGTCTCTCACATGTCAGTGGAGACATGAGAACTAGTATCAGGGAAAGAAGAACTGCTTGAATTCTAATACAAAGTTCTCTTGACTTACATGTTGGAATGTCCTTCGGAGAAATCCAAACTCTAAATAGAATTTATAAAAATGCAGCTGACTCATTCCCTGCAGAATAAAAACCACCACGTTGTTCAGGTGGTTTTGGTGAAAAAGGTGGCACCAGCTGTTGAAAAATCAAACCAACAAAACTAAGAGTGATATCCTTATGTCAGTTATATTAATATAGCAAGGGAGGGTGAGAAAAAGCAATGATCCTAGCAAATGGGGTGTACCATCACTGGCTGACTGCTACTACTGAAGGGAATTGAAAATAAAGAGCTCTTGAGTGAAATACATTCTTGTTTTGTTGTTGTATGCAATCAAGTCAGAACAGATTCATAGCTGACCCTCCACTGGTTAAATCGCATGGTCATCTTCCTCCCATGGAGCAGCTAATGGTTTTGAACTGAGTGCAGCTTCTTACCAGTAGGCCACCAGAGCTCCATATTACAATTCTATTCACTGTCCATATGACATTCACTGTCATATTACATTTAAAGAAAATGGCAGGTGAAATACAGTCTGTTAATATACTATTAAGTTTATTTTAAACTCATTTTACAAAGATATATATCCTCAACATTTCAACCTGCTCAGCATTCCTAAACTGGGTCATGATCGACTGACAGGTCAATGGCAATTATCTGTTGTGCACAGAAAGGCTTTTTTCACCTTTTTTTTAAAAAATTAATTTTAATGAGTTTACAGGCTTTGAATTTCCATTCATTCACTGTTGCACTTTTCTCCCTGTCCAACCCCCACCCAATTAGCTCTCCTCTTTGAAAAAAAAAATTATTTCATTGTTAAACAATCCCTCCCCCTAAGTCCACTATGAAGCCTTCATTCTGGACTCCTGTCATGACAATAATACCTAATGATATATCCCTTTTAAACAGTTCTCTCCCTCATCTGTCTCAATGCAGTATACATTATTTATCCCCTCTTTCACAGTCTCCCCTAAACCCCGATATGTTAATCCCGTTTTACAACAGTGGTCCTATGCAATATTTGTCCTTTTGTGACTGAGATATTTCACTCAGCATAATGTCCTCCAGGGTCACCCATTTTGTATAATATTTCATGAGTTTCTTGTTTTTCAATGCATCATAGTATTCCATTGCGGGAATATATCAGAGCTTCTCTTCTATCCATTCATTTGTTGATGGGCACTTGGGTTCTTTCCAACTCTTTGCTATTATGTACAAAGCCACAATAAACATGGGTGTGTATATATCTGCTTGGGTGGCAGTTATGGTTTCTTTATAGTCCCAGTAGTGGAATTGCTGGGTCAGATGATATTTCTATTTGCAACTTTTTGAGAAGGCACCATACAGATTTCCATAGTGGTTGCACCATCTTACACTCCTACCAACAGTGAATAAAGGTTCCAGTTTCTCCACGACCTCATCAGCATTTATTTGATGTTTGCTGTACAGAAAGGCTTTTGTAGTATCTAGCCAATCATCTCCACACAGATGTGTGCATTTGAAATTTTACTGATACTTATAAAAACCCAATTTTGTAAGACTTTAGCAATGGTTTTGAAAATAGAAGACTAGTAAAAATGACTAAAGGATTGACTGGGAGTCATAATGTATAATCACATTATTTCAATTGGGGCTTCACTGGACCAAAATATATATAGGGCACAAAAACATTATAATTAAGGAAGTAGGACAAGTAGGCAGTTCAATTCCACCAGGTACTCTGCCAGAGAAAGATGGGCAATCTCCTCCCATTCTCCATCTAAAGGGGGTGATCACAACTCAATTTTGACAAATTATTACCCTGTGGAAATACAGGGAAAGTTGCCAAATCATATCCAAAGCAGCTTAAAGTCTAGATTTTCTATACTCAACATCTCATTGCCATGGAGTCAGAACCAACTCATAGCTGACCCTCCAGGTGGTTTTCAGGAGCTGTATATCTCACAGGAGAAGAGTGTCCATCTTCTTCTGGTGGAACAACTGGTGTATTTGAACCACCTTCTTTGGGTTGGTGGCACAATTCATTAACCACTAAGCCATCAGAGCCAATATTTAAACATTTTTTTATATTATTGCTGTTAAGTGCCGTCAAGTCAACTACAATCTGAGCAACCCCAGGAAGAACAGAATTGGACGTTGCCCTAACCTACTCCATCCTTGTGATCTGCATCATGCTCAAGCTCATTGTTACCACTGTAATAGTCACTGTGTCAATCCATCTTGTTGAGGAGCCTGCCTCTCTTCTGCTGACCCTCTATTTTTCTATCATTGTGCCTGGAGAAAGAATATGGCAGTTGCCCCCAGCATCAGGCTTGATCAATTCCCGAGAAACCTGGTAACGTCTAAGCTGGTCATATCAAAGACCAGACTAATGGATCCTGATAAGGGTCTGAGCCTGATCAAAAGGGCCCAAACCTAACTTAATTAACATCCCAAATGCCGAGAAATAACCATCTTAGTCCTTCCCAGGACCCCTATAAGAAGGAACCCCCCAAATAACCTGCCCATGCACCATTTCGATCCTGTCCGCATGCTGTGCGGCTGGTCACTTGGTGTCCCTCTAAGATCACTCAATAAAGGCCTGTTCGTTTCTTGGAACCAGTTTCTTTCTTTCTCTCCCTCGCCCTCACGCCTTTTTTTTTTTTTAAAATCTAACAGTGCCTCTCCAAAGATTGCATCCTCCTGAAAATACGGCCAAAGTGAGTGACACACTTTCACTAGGCATTTTTTTCTTTCTTCTCTCTCTCTCTCTCTCTCAAATGTAATTTTTAGATGTAATTTTCTTTTTAGTAAGCATTATGTAACAGACTTCTGTAGTAGTGGAAAGTGACTATGTTGCTTTTTTTCACCAACAGGAAAAATGCTTTAGTCAACGTTCTCCAAACCCTTTGACGCGTAGTAGCGATTCACCCCAGAGATCCATCTCCATCAAACACCACTGGTATGGAATATGAACAACCCTTTTCTCCTTGCCGCCGTTGGTGAACCTGGATGTTCGAGGTGGTTACTCCCAGAATAAACAAACACACTGACATGATGGCGAGTCCAGGGAGAAGCTCGAACCACATCGTGACAGAACCTTCCAAAAGGTTACCCTGTCGCGTCTTCCTTCCCAGGAGGCCCCGCGGCCTGGCAGGACTACAGTTAGGGCACATATGCAGGAAGCTACGGCGTCAGGCAGGGCTCAGGCTTTTACGTGATCCGCCCTGCACACTCACATCCCCCCCCTTCTTACTAGCCTTTAAAAAAAAAAATTAAAAATATCTTGGGTTTTTTTTCCATTTTTGCACATTTCCCCCTGTCCCTTCCCCCTTCCCAACTTTCTCCGCAATGCTCCTTTTATTCCAGATTGTTGTCATACATACATACCTAATTATATATTCCTTTTGAACAGTTCTTCCCGTCATCTGATCAAATGCAGTGTTCATTATCTATCCACTCTTTTTGCATTCTCTCCCCAATCCCACCATGTTGGTCCTATTTTATAACAGTGGTATGTCTTTTTGTGACTGAAATATTTTACTTAGTATAATGTCCTCTAGGCTCCCATATGTTGCATAACGGTTTACAAGTTGACTGTTTTTCAGTGCTGTGTAATATTCCATTGTGTGGAGGAACCACCATATTTTCTACCCCTTTGTTGATGGGCAAATGGTTTGCTTCCATCTCTTTGCTATTGGGAATAAAGCAGCAACAAACATGAGTGTTTATGAGTTATGGCTCTGGATTCTTTAGAGTATATTCCCAGGAATGGAATTGTTGAGTCAAATGATATTTCTGCTTCCAATTTTTGAGAAAGCATCAGACCATCTTCCACAGTGGCTACACCATTTTACATTCCCACCAGCAGTGAATTATGAGTTCTAATCTTTGCACAACTTCTCCAGCATTTGTTGTTTGCTGTCCTGTTGAACGTTGCTATTCTTGCAGAGGTGAGATGATATAGTTGTTTTGATTTGCATCTCTCTGATAGCTAGGGATTTTCAACATTTCTTTATTATGTGTTTGTCATTTGAATGTCTTCTTTGATAAAATGTCTATTAGTATCCTGAGCCCATTTTGTGATTGGGTTATTTACCTTTTTCTTGTTGAGGTACTGAAGTATTCTATACATTTAATTAAAGTCCCTTATCAGTATGGGATTGCCAAATTGTTCCCCAGTCTGTGAATTTCCTTCTTATGCTCTCTTGGAGAAGTTTTTTGATGTGCATAGGCATTTGATTCTTAGAAGGTCCCATTCATCTATTTTATTATTTTATTCTCTCTGGTTGTAGGTTTTTCATTATACTTGTTCATACTGTGGATTAGGGTTTCTAGAAATAGAGTTCTTCCAAGCTTTTCTCTGATAAATTTTATAGTCTTTGGTTTTACTTCTAGGTCCTTGATCCACTCTGAGTCAGTTTTTGTGTAAGGTGTGAAGTGTGGGTTTTGCTTAAATTTTCTGTAGATGGTTTTCCAATTTTGCCAACACCATTTGTCATTTCCCCACTTAACTGATTTTGTCTACTTGTTAAAGATCAGTTGACCATGTAGGTGGATTTGCTGATTTTTGGGTTCTCAATTCTGTTCCACTGATCTAGGTGTCTGTCGCTGTACTAGTACCATGCTGTCTTGATCAGCAGGGTCATGTAGTAGGATTTGAGATCAGGCACTGTGATGCCTCAACCTTATCTCTCTTTTTCAGTAGTATTTTGTTTATCTGCGGCTTCTTTCCACTCCAGATAAAATTGCAAATTGCCTTTTCCATCTTGTCGAAGAATGGGGGAAAAAATAAATGTGTATTGGGATGGCATTGGACTTGAAGATTGTCTTTGGTACAATTGTCATTTTCATAATTTTGAGTCTATCTTTCTGTCAGCATGGTATATTCTTCCATTTCCTGCCCCCCCCCCCCCCGCAGGTTTCTTTTTGTTTCTTGTAGTAAGTTTTGTAATTTTCTTTGCATAGGTCTTTTGTGTCTTTAGATTTATTCTCAAGTATTTCATCTTGTGATTAGCTATTGTAATTGGTATTACAATACAATACAATACCTAGCTACATTTCTGTATTTGTCACTATAGAGGAATCCAACTGATTTTTATATGCTGATCTTGTACACTGCTACTTTGCTGAACTGGTCAACTCTAATAACTTTCTCACTGAATTTAGGGTTTCCTAAGCATACTATACTATTGCTTGCATATAGAGACAAGTTATACCTCCTCTTTGTCAATTTGTATACCTTTTATTTCCTTCTCTTGACTGTTCTTACTAATACTTTCAATACTGATAGGAGAGATGATAGTGGGCACCTTGCCTAGTTCCTGTTCTCAAGAGGAATGTCTTTAACACGTTGCCGCACACTTTTAAATTGACAACCGTGCTTAGTTAGAAACACATTTTTTTCGCTATAGTCATCATTTGCGGCAACATGTTAATCTTTCTCCATTGAGAATAATGTTGGCTTTTGGTTTTGCATATACACTTTTCACAATGGTGAAGAAATTTCCTTCTATTCCTATTTTGTTGAGTGTAATTCTAGAACACTTAACCGTGTTCATGTAAAACCTATACCTACACTAAGATGTAGTTGTTTTCTAAACAGAATAAGGGGACCCTAACCTTACATTACTCATATGCAAGTTCAAGCTGAAGCTGAGGAAAATTAAACCAAATCCACAGGAGCCAAAATATGACTTTGATTTCATACCACCTGAATTTCAG